GAATTTTGCAGAAATAACATACCTCTTCTAGTGCTTGAGAGCCCTCCTCATTCTTCATCTCACAATCTAAAAATGAGATTTGAAGGGATGACTGGAACAAGAGATAAGGTTTTAGTTGAGCTTTGCATAACATTATATATTGCATATGGAACAAAAAGCTAGCCGTTGGGAATATGTCTGTCAGAATAGTTAATCAGCTAGCCGTTGAACAATCACCTAGATTTAAGAACAATCACCAATTTAAACTCAAACTTTGGGGCTAAAAGGTAACCACTTCAGATTTAAACTCAAACTTTGGGGCTAAAAGGTAACCACTTCAGCTAAAAGTAGTAGTACAGGGATAGTTATATGTTAACATGTTCAAGTAAAAAATTCAAAACATCTTGCTGACTTGCAGCAGATTACAATTGTCTCACAATATATAGTCTAAACTTGTATACAACTTATATTTCTCTAGCGCCATTCCTGTTGTAAGAAGTATAACACACTAATCACCGATGGGCTCGTTGCAAGTTGATCGGTTGTGCCCCTCAGCTTTGCATCGACCACATTTGAAGGGACGTTTCAAGACTTCTCTGTTGTTTATGCGTCTTGTTCTATTTCTTCCCCTCCTCTTCGTGGTAATTGGTGGCAAAATCTGGATATGCGTCTTGTTCTATTTCTTCCCCTCCTCTTCGTGGTAATTGGTGGCAAAATCTGGATTTCATCCCTGAGCACACTCCGCTTCTCATAATCTGGTATGAGATATATTATTTTAGCGTAGCTCTTCTTAAACGCTTCTACGGACATGAACCAGTCACAATATTGGTATACCCCCTTTTTCATATAAATGATGACTGCACAAGCATGCACACAAGGAATACGAGTTACGTCCCAAGCACGGCAAGTGCATGTCCTCTTCTCTAAATCAACGTGAGTGGTTCTATGTGATTGCACTTCGAATATATCACCTCTAGATTGATTAATCTCTAAAGTAGATCCTTTTTCCATATGTTCTCTAACAATCTGCTTAGCTTTAGGATAAAGATAGCTTGTCCACTTATAAGCCATTATGCGTCTGTTGTTCATGCGAGTCATAATTTGTTTGCGGATATGCTCCACGATTTGTAGGATATGCAACAATCGAGCTTCACGTATCCAGATATTAAAGGATTCTACAACATTAGAGGTCACATGACCATATCTGCAGGCATTCAAAATAATAGAAAGTATGGTCAGCATCTAATATATAATAAGATTAACACATAGCCACAAAACTTAACCTTTAGTAGGGAACGTTAACATAACTACATGAAAGTTAAAATATATTGGTAAACGCTAACATATATCAGCGATAATTAACCTACAGAAGGGAAAATTCACATATATCAGCGATAGTTAACTTACAAAAGGGGAAATTCACTCATACTGATTGAGTGCAGTACCTAATGCCAAGGAAGAATGCATTTGCCTAATGCTCTGGCGAGTAGTTAATTACAATCTTATATGCAGCTGGAGACATCTTATATATATCCTTCATGTAGTCGTTCCATTCCGCAACAGTGTATTTATAGAAAGCTGATTGGAGCAAATTCCCCAAAACTTGTGTGTCCTTTGCCTTCATTCCCAAAGCCTTTAGCTTTGATCTAAAATTTTCAACCAGGTACAGAACACATCTTGAGTGAATTGCTTCAGGGAAATATTCTCTCACCGCTTCTCGGATCCCCTTGTCGGCATCAGAAATAATAACCAATTGATGGGAAGGATAGTATGGGTCTGGCCTTTCATATAGTATGGACCACATGCCTTGAAGGAACCATCTTCAATTATCAACATTTTCCTGATCACATATGCAATACGCAAGTGGAAACATCCATTGGTCTCCGTCATATGCTATGGCGCTCAGGAGCGTGCCTTTGTATCTGTCTTTCAAAAAGGTCCCATCCAAAAATAATAGGGGTCTACAACCATTTAAGAAACCAATGATGCAAGCAACATAACATATAAACAGTCTTCTAAACCTTCCTTCATTCTGGTTGGTGCAAATGTAGCTTCCTGGATTCGTTTCCTTCACCTTTTGCTCATACCTGTACAACAATGTGACCATATTTCACATAAATATAATAAATTGGAATATAAGGGTAATATATATTAACATAAAAGATCACAATTTTTTATGAAATATAACAGTCCACGGTGATAGCTGAAATATATATTAATAAAAATTAACATGAAGCATTTAAGGAAAATATATTGCATGATAAATTAACTACTAACATTGTGGGTGGATCGACTACGATCAAAATTTATACATTTAAACAGATAACTGTAAAATTTACCATCTTAATTGATCGTAAGACTCATAACTAAAACCGTACATAGCCTCTTGTGCTCTTTCTTTGCCCCACCATATCTTACTGTATTCAAGTCTCAATCTATATCGAGTGAGGAACTCCTTTTGCACATCTTTTGGGTGGATTTCAGGTCGAACCTTTAAGACAGGTCGTAATTGGGTTGCTATGAATCTGCGAGATGCCCGTGATTGCCCTGACAAGTTAGTATGTTATCCGCAACTGTGTTCATTCACAAACCTTTTGATTGCAATTCTTTTTTTCATTTTTAACAAGAGATGCAAACAGCATCCAAGGGCATCCATATGTCTCCTTATATCGATAAATAACTCGGATACGTTTAGGTTCATTCTTTACAAATTCATAGTCAAACTTTTTCGCCATGGAATAGTATTGCAAAGCTAGTCTCAAATCATTTACAGTTTTAAATTGTTGGCCGATTTTAGTTAATACTGTGTGCCACCATTGAGGAATCATGGAAGTGTTATTAAGAATATAATTAGCTCTCATTACAATCTCACCAGACGGACAATCATTTTGGATTCTCTCTGAATTGGAAGCACTTCCTCGAGGAGAAGGATGACAATATTCTTCATTCAAAGATGCATCACTGCTGCACAAATTAATCAACCAGTGAGATATCCTGTACACTATAGTATATAACTTATCTTCTAATATTTTAAATTAACCATTTTTCGTATAAATTAAAAAAGAGCAGTGGAATTTAACAGACACAATGCATAGTTAACTCGTTACGACGAAAGTTAACATGATCACACGAAAGTTAACATGTTTACGTGAAGGATAACATATCTCGTCGAAACTTAACATGAAAGATGAAGAGTTAACGTATAACCATCAAAGATGACAACTATGTTTTTTGACTGCGCATCGAAACCTAAAATAACAATTTTTATATCACACAACCCCAGTTTTTACCAGAGTTCATTGTTTACATATAAATCAGTAATAACTTTGTGCTTTCTTGAAGAAGTAGGACACTCTATGTTATCAAAAACTTGCATTTGAATCTCCGTACAACAAGTGTAAATATTGTGATCCAACATGCACTTCACGATAGGAAGAATATAGCATTAACGCATAACCACACCGTGCACATCAAGTATTTGACGGCCGTTGGGGGTTGTTGACAGTTATGAGGACAATTATGAGGTGACAATTATGAGGTGAAATTGAAGGGATTTAAAGCGCATAGGGGGTTTTGGAAAGATGAAGGGAAAAAAAACTTAAATTTTTTTTCGACTTTGCCTTAAAACCTGAAATCAATATGTTTACATCACACAAAACTCAATGTTATAAAGCGCATAAGGGATTTAAAGCGCATAAGGGGTTTTGGAAAGATGAAGGGAAAAAATACTTAAAATGTTTTTCAACTTTGCCTTAAAACCTGAAATCAATATGTTTACAACATACAAAGCTCAATGTTATAAAGAGTCATTAATTACTTACATTCCACTAATAACTTTCTATTTTTTCCAGAACTGGAACACTCTATATTAATAGCTGTATTAACAGCAGCTTGTATGTGAATCTCTGTACAACCAACATTTCGATTGTACTCCAACATGCACTTCAAGTCATCTTCATTATCAACTGAAAAACTTAGGTTGGGGTGCCTCTCAGATTTATATATCAAGGATAAAGCTTCTTCAGGTACTTTCAGTCTTTCAGCCACATCAAATTTTTAGTTCATAAAACCTTGTTGTCGAGCATAGCTTCAAGAATATGGCATTCTCACCCAAAGACACCATACAAATCAAGTCCTTGGCGGCCATTGGAGGTGATTTAGAGTTATGAAGACAATTATGAGGAGTAATTGAGGGGATTTAAAGCGTATAAGGGTTGTTGAAAGTTGAAGGAAAAAACCCTAATTTCATAAATGGGAGAGTGAGAGATAAAATTAGCCAATTTATAACCCATGATGGTGAAGCGCACCAGTAATGGAGGGAACCCACCACTTTTTTTCTCGCTTTTCTCCGTCTCTTCGCCTTAACTGTGATGGGAGAGATCGGTGATCATTTAATGCCTGGTAGGGGTTTTCTGTGAGAGAGAAGAGGGCATTTACAGGATTTATGTCTAAAGGGGTTGGACCACACAACAAACACAATTTTGAGACTAAAGCCCGAGGGTGTTAATTGGTGGGACTGGGCCGGTCTCCAATTTTGGGACTAGACACAATTTTCTCAAATTTCTTTCCACGGTTTATCTTTGCCAAATTTGAGCTAATGTAGGACTTACGGATTTGTCTTATGGTGTGTTTGGGAGTTTACTAAGGGAAGGGAAGGAAAGGGAAGGGAAGGAAAGGGAAGGGAAGAGAATTGTAATATGTTGTAATATGTTGTTTGGGAGTTGAGTAAGGTGAATGAAGGTGAAAGGAAGTAAATATATGTAAATTTACATAAATGATTTTATACTAATAACACATCAGCTCTTTTATTTGTTTTGATGGGGGTAAGAATGTCATTACACCCCTTTACCCTCCTTTACCCTCCTCTACCGCCCAAATCGGGGGGAAAGAAAACCAAACAATTTTACCCTCCGTTCCCCTTCCTTCCTCCTCTCTACCCTCCTTAAAAAAACTCCCAAACAAGGTGAAAGTTGCATTTCTCTTCCCCTCCCCCTCTCTACCCTCCATCCAAACAGTGCATTAAAAAAAAGAAAAAGAAAAAGCATTGCCCTAATCGGCCAATTCTGGGAGTTCGACAAGAGTTAGCAGGAGATAATGGAAAACCCTAACCCAGAACTCCGTGAGATTTCTTGCTTCTTAAAGGTAACGTGGGAAATTTCTTACTCTTACTTTGCAATTTTCTTTTTTTTTTGTAATTTGAATTTTTTTAATTAGGAATTCTGTAATTTTTAAAGAACATCTCGTGGTCAATTCTTTATATCTATGTTTTGTTGACATTGAATGCAAATTCCATGATTGTACATGTAGCTCTTTAATATGTTCGATTAAAAGAGTAATCTTTATCGGTGTTTTATGATATTGTGTTGTACTCCCATTTTAGTAAAGCCAAAAAAAAAAAGGAAGAAGAAGAAGAAAATGAAAAAACAAATTTGAAATATCTGAATGTTGCTCAAACGGAAGGGTTAAGAGCTTTTTGGGATTATTTGAAAGGAAATCTTTATTTACTGGAGGATCTAAAGTTCTATATATTATGCATGTGGCCGTTGGTTAATGATCTTCTTTTGGTATCTACACCTATACAGTGGTTATTTTTTCATCTGTTGTTGTCGAACTAGCTTCAACAATATCAGTTTCCTTGAAGGGATGACATAATGTTTTTAGTAATTGTACATTCTGTTACGGATATAGAGGGAACTTTGATACATTTGTTACATATTTATATTTTTTTTGGCATGATGACATCTAGCAAGGTGTTTTTTCCCGCTTATTCTAGTTTGACGTGAACATAATTTATGGCTCCGCTGATTGTAGGTCAATTTAAATCAAAGATATATCTTTGCTTCTTTTTTCAAATTATAAATGTGGATGATTTCTTGATAAATGTACTTGATACTTGAGGTGTGATGATGACTTAGAGTTTTTATCTTGTCAAAGTAGTAGTAAACCATGTAAAAAGCTCCGCCTTGCAATAGTACTGTTCAAAGCCTAACAGTTTAAAAATGACTAATTTTTTTCTTAAAAAAAATTCATGCAACGATATTCGTCATTAGCCAATAAGTATATTTCTAGTATTCTTCCCATAACAAAAATGACATTGACGCACCATATTCTGGTCAATTTATCATGGCTTGGTTGTGTGTATGAATAAATATAGAGAGCAAGCTACAAAATTTTGTATAGCAGTGCTATCTACAAAACTTTGACACATCAAACATCCTTTATTCATACGCTCCTCAGCAACAACATTCTTGTTGATTAAAAGCAAAAGAAACTGTATAGACAAATTAGGTGATGCCTGCCGTTAACTTATATCTCATAGGTCATTCCCACCTTGAGTAACTTACTCCTTGGAATCTTCATAGCCTCTCCTCCCTGCCGAAAGTTTCTCCTCATGAAGTTGTAAACATAATCGACAACTATTCTCTTAATAATCGAAGAATTCTTTCCCGCAACCACTTCAGTTTCTCCTAACAGGTACACTATCCCCTTCTCCATCTCTTTCTGAACAAATTGTTGCTCATCTTCGATTACTGACTGTAAAGACTCTGAAGATTCCGTGATGGTATATTCATTGTGGATGAAGTTCTTTAATTGCTCAATAACCAAGCTTTCAAACTCTCTAGCTTCTTCTATGGCGTCTTTATACCCATAGCGTACCACACAACGATAAATTCTGTATTCTCTTGGCTCGACTTGCCTGAAGAGAAATCGTTCGTTTATCTCAACTTTAGTGACAGGCAAACGTTTCACCGAAACAAACACCAGAACTGAGTGTATCGAAGGTACTTTCTCAATGAAGTGGGCAAAGATTGGTGGAATGCCTTCAACTAGTTCCGAATACAGAAATCCAACCCCAGAGATCCTTTTTATGTCCTGTCTAAGAGCCAAGTCTTTTATGTAAGTGTTGGATATTTTGTTCTCAACCTCAAATTTGTATCTTTTGACATGTACGTAGTGCCATATGGCCATGATCTGCATGAGGAAAAATGAGAAGACGAGCGGGAGGAAGCCACCTTGAACAAATTTGGATAGGACTGAAGATAGATATGTAAGCTCTGCTCCACCAAAAATGACAAAGAATGGTAATATTTGCCAAATGCTCTTTTTCCATATCATGAGCATTATTAGAGTGACCAAACATGTTGTGATAGTCATATCACAAAGAACCGCAATTCCTGCAAAAGGATATACAAGTATCATATTTTATCCAAGAACTCCTAAAACAAGTAGATTGATTATTCGTCTTCATGGGTCTTAAGTAAGGTTTATCTCTAATACCATTTTCAATATAAACGCACATATAGGATTTGCGAGCTCCGTGGAAAGTATCGGATAAGCCTATTGGGAACTGACAAGACTTCTGGAAACATTATAGATCTGTTATGAATCTGCCTTTATATTCTCGACCAGAACCCTACCTTATATGTTAAATAAGTTCATATTTCCATCAAAATAGTATTAGGTAGGTTGACAATTAATGGTAATGATTCTTTCCAATTCATATTTTCATATATTTCATCAAGTAATATGTGCACTCAGTGTCAAGGTTTTCCTGATCTTCCAATTATTTGCGATGAGTCCATATTTGTTGATATCTATCTATTTCACATTCGAGTTAGTTGTAGTGTTTTTCACTATTGATAGAAGACATGGCAGAAACTTTCATATGAATTCATTTATATACAAATCAGAACAATGTAATTGCGCTTCACGAATGGATAACCATGCCAACATAAAATCCTAGAAGTTGGAAGTTCAGCTTAACTTTGAACTATTCTGTATAAAATGCTCGAGAGCCTTTCTTAGCGAGCATTTTGTGTATAATCTGATCTTCTGTTAGGTTTCCGGACTTTACACAAATCAGCAGGATGATATCTCTAACATAGTACGGACTCATAATTTATATCACCACATGAACATGGCTACCATGTCCAACTTGTGCGTGTGGACATCATTAGTTTTATCACTGTTTTCAGGGTTTTTTGTGGGACATTTGATATACCTCGAACTATAATTATTGTAGATAAATAAGTAAAAATTGGATAAACTTCCATTATAAATAATGATGATGTTGACAAAATCCTTACCATAGGCATTGCCTATATGTTCTGTTGTTCTGAAGCTCCCCGTCACTAATATACAAGCGATCATCAGTGCAAAGTTCAATTCTGGAATGTACACTTGTCCTTCATATTTCGCAGAAGTGTGGACAACCTTAACTCTTGGAAAGCAACCTAGAGTTTGAGCCTGTGCTATGATTGAAAATACACAAGCTATCACAGCTTGGCTTGCAATAATGGCAGCAGCAACTGCGACTACAAATGTTGGCCAGAATAATGGACCTACATCAAATTAAGCTATATTATTCATCACACAATCTCCTATACTGTCAATAATAGATATATTTTAAATCACATTAGATATGTATTTAGTATTCATCACACAATCTCCTATACTGTCAATAATAGATATATTTTAAATCACATTAGATATGTATTTAGTACCTGGAAGTGATTTGTAGAAAGTGTCAGCAACATTTTCCGGATATTTGGTTAGATATGCAGCTTGCCCGATGTACGCTAGTGATACTGCAGGGAGCAAAGCCCCAACGAAGCTAATCTGTAATTGAAGATTTGGATGGTTGAGTTTACATTTTCATAAGAGCTTGGCATCAAAATGGACAAGCGATGACGGAATAAAACTTGCTAAAGAACAAAGATATCCTTCTAGTTTATTTTTGTTATGTATGAAATTCGGAGGAGTTCATTGTCACAGGTGCAATCTTTGTGCTATTCACTAATCACCACATGTTATGTATGAAATTCGGAGGAGTTCATTGTCACAGGTGCAATCTTTGTGCTATTCACTAATCACCACATTATCTCTCTATCTGTGTTCCATAGTCATTGTCACAGGTGCAATCTTTGTGCTATTCACTAATCACCACATTATCTCTCTATCTGTGTTCCATAGCGAATACAAATCCAGTGAAGCATATCCATGCGATCACTAATTTACATGGTAAATACATAGGTTAAGTATCATAAGGTATGATTGCCAAGATCATTCATTAAGGTAAAGAATAGAGACTCTAGATTCTTTTTAGAAATTATTTAGGAAAGATGTAAACTTGGACGCAGTGAGGAATGCAAAGAAGTGAAACAAACAAACAGTTATAGTCTTCGATATATTTGGTTGGTAGCGTCATAGGAAGAAATAACCATTACCAAATCTAGGGAAACATTGTAGAATCTTAATAAGATTTTGAACTCTAAACAGGCCTAAAACATTTGAAGGCAGATTTGAAATGTCTAAAGGGTATATAAGTACCTGAATAGCTCTAACATTGAAGTGGCCCAAGTCAGCAAACATTGCTTCAGCACCTGTTTTATGAGTATTTTGGGTCCACATCATTTTTTTTAACAAACTCTAATAAGGCTCAGTGCAAATATCATGATGAGTTAAATACCTGTAATGCACAGCACAACACCTCCAAGGGAGATCCATCCTTCTTTTCCATTTCTCTTGAAATAGTCTATAATGTACATTGGATTGAAGGCGCGCAAAACCGTCACGTCATGCTTGAATAAATTGTACAGGCCAATACCACCAATAAGGCTGAACCAGAGTAGGATTACAGGAGCAAACACATAACCCACTTTATCTATGCCGAAGCGTTGAACAGAAAACAGCATGATCAAGATTATGATCGAAATAATTGCGATTTCTCCTGTTTAAGATGAAAGAAGAGAACGATGAGTGATTATCCTTTAGTGAAAACCTACATTTTGATGAGCACCAAGGTCCAAAATATTGCATCCCCATGTATATTTATATCTGTCCGTCAACTTTGAACGTTTCTTGGATACTGAAGTCTCGAGAGCTAGCATGGGGTCTAGGACTTGAGTATGTTGTTATATTTAAAATGCACTTTGCTACAAGGCTACAAACGAGTTGCAATTTTTTATGGAGAATTTGGAATTTTAAGGTGTTTGTCATGTGCATTAGATATGGAATTCATTTTAGCAAGATACAAAGCTAATTGTAGATATAACTCTTAAGACTTATACAGTACGCTATCCGAATTTAAAATAGGAATCTAATATTTCTTTGTTTCTTTTTTCTTTTTCATTTGGTTACATATAACTACACAAATAGTTGATTTTAGGAATGGTAAAGAACCTTGGGAATCATGTTGCAATTGGGGTGCGCACTCTTTATTTGCGTAATTTCACATGTTTTTTGTTGTTATTTTTCTTTAAATTTTTTATTTTTCAAAATTATATTGGTCTTGATTCTAAATTTCAGTAGCCAGAGTTGGCAATTTGGGCCACATGTTCCCGGACATTGAACTTGGGTCACAGTTCCGTATACCATCGAATGAGGCAACTATGATTTTTTGTCTTGTTCTAAAAGAGAGAGTTAGCATTTCATTCTTACAGTAGAAACTGGAATTATTTTCTGAACATACAATTTTTCAACCTGCTTTTATACATTTTTTAGTATTTGCGGAGTCAATAATCAACATTCATACCTTCAGTTAAGGAAGTTGCTTTCTGCTGAATCCCACTTACTGCTGAAAGGACTGCAAAAAATAAAACAAAATTCCAACAGGAAGTTGCTTTCTGCTGAATCCCACTTACTGCTGAAAGGACTGCAAAAAATAAAACAAAATTCCAACGTCATCAATGATTATACAAACAATTATTGGGTCCTATGGAATCAGACATCCTAGTTGCTTACCAGAGATGCATGGAGTTAAGACTCCATCACCCATAATCATCGATGTACCTAAGATTGTTAGGAAAATAAGGGCGACTTTGGCTGCTTTACTGCCCTCCAGCTTCCCTTTGATCCATTGAGCCCTCTTCATTTTGGTTGATGGTGTTTGTAACGTATAATTCGAGAGCATTGCATCTTCAACCTGCTGATTTGGCAGCAGGCTTACCTTAGCATACCGTGATATCAAGGAATACAGAGCAAAAGCCCCTCCTACAAGACGGTTAATTGCCAAGCAAGTGTTAGATGTCAGGAAAAAAAGGGTAAATTTCATGAACTTGGGATGAGGAGAAGAAGAGGTACAAACTCACCATTCCCATTATCATTAGCCCACAGCACGATAAGGGCATATTTGGTCAAAGGTATGAGAAGCAAAGTGTAGAGAATGAGAGAGAGAACACCAAGTATGTCATCTTCATGTTTGATTCCACGAGTAAAAGTGCTTGCATACACATACAATGGTGATGTCCCTATATCTCCGTACACAACCCCAATGCTTTGGAAAGCTAGATGCATTGTGATTGCCCAACTCGCCTGCAATTTTAATTGAAGATTAACTCGCCGTCATAATCTGTGAGAATTAACAGTGATTTCTTTTTTTTAATTTGTTGGGGTTTTTTTTTTCCTACCTCCCTCCCTCCCCGGTATTCACATTTGGCTCCTTAAATCTTTCATATGTTTAATTTGTCTCTCAAATAATAGAAACTACGTACTATTAATTAGCTCTCTTGTTCACATAAAAGCTACTCCAAATTAGTTCCCATGGCGAGTTATGATTTGGATTGGAGGGAATATACCATCAAACTTAATTTTTTGACGTGCTCTTCCAGTTACACCCCCATCTCTAAACAAAAAACCTGTTAAAAACCCAACCCAGAACCCAAATATTTATTTCTTCAATCCCTCCCATCAGTGATCTTCTACTTCAAACCCATTTTTTTTCAATGGCTCTTTTTGCTTTTATGGGGGTAACCCAGACAGACTTAAGGCAGTTGACGGAAAAACTAACACAGGAACTAATTTGAAGGAACTTATACGAATTAGAGGAGTAAATAAAAATTTCAATGAATTTGTTGGAGACCAGCTTAAAACTATGAAAGATTTAAGGGACCAATATTTGAGGAACCCCAATCTTTTTTGTAGAGTTATGTGTCTCTCATCTACAAGCAGTCACCTAAAGATGTACTAAAATCCTATGTTGCAGAAATAAATGTTACAGGGAAAAGAATCACGAACATTAGCACCATGGCTCGTGGCACTGGACACGTTACCAGCCTCCATATTCAACGAGTCGAAACGATGAAGCTTTCTTGTGGATGGCTTTCTTCCTCCTGGAGCTTCTGTGGATTCTGTATTCTCCACTACTTCAGCTTCCTCGACATTGTTGCAAGTATCAAACTCTGCATCAGCCATCCCTTGAAGCTTATACTGCTCTAGCCTTTGGTATGCTTGAAACTCTTTTTGTTATCTTCCTTCCATATTTATAGGCAGGCAACAAAACAGTGAGATATTAAGGGGAAGCGGTGATAAAGTATGTACATGTATTTATACATCTGTAAGCATTTGTATTTCAGTAACAGGACAAATAATGGTATAAGCTAGTCAACAGAATCTCCGCTTGCTAGCAAGATAGTTAGCTGTGCTAATTATCATTTGGGAATGTGTAAGTTAGTGTACATGCATGCGCTAAGAAGTCATGCACGTGTGCTAGATTGAAAAAAGGACAACTTCCACAAAACCCCCCGAAACTTTGGGGTGATTTCCATGAAACCCCCATGGACTTTGTTTTTCCCACAGAACCCCCAATCTCAAAAGAGTCCTCGATAACTCCGGAAACTAACTATTTCCAGGAAGCCAGCAGGGGAAAAAAAGCCAAGGAGAAGAGGAAAGGATGAGCCCAACAGAAAATAAGGAAAGAACAGAAACAAATAGATAATAAGTTCTTGCAATTGCGAGCAACGTTTTTTTTGTTTTTTTTATTTTTGGTTTTTGGTTTATTTTTTATTATTATTATTTTGGGGTTTTTAACCCCTTGTGAGAGTTAGCCTTAAAAAATGCAAATTTAGCATGGGCAATTGTAAGTTTACCAAGTGGACTTTATAAACAAAGGAGGTGAACATGCCTCCATCTTCCGGAACTCAGCTCTCTTTCAAAATTCAAAGGCAATATAAAATTCCACTCTATCTCAATTATTAGAGTCGTAGGTATTTGAATTTCTTTCTGAATGGCACTTAAATATTGGCTAAATACCCATATTGGTGTTTTAATTCAACCCCATTTACCAAGAAAGTATTTTAATTAGGAAAATCGGCGTTAAGGCATTTTAATTGATTAAAATTACCAATTAGGTCATTTTTCTCGTCGGTGACCACTTTTCCGGCGAGAACTCGTCACGTGCGTTGCACACGGTGGCTTAATCTGTGTTTAAGCTGCTGATGTGGCACTGTTTTTATGACGTGGCATGGAGAATAAAACATTCGGCCATCTCTGGTCCTCAAAAAAACCCTCGGGTTCACCCTTTACTTCTCTCTCCTCCCACTTCCCCTCCGCCATTTCTTCTCTCTCAAGCTCAGGTTCTGTTTCACCCTTTACTTCTCTCTCCTCCCACTTCCCCTCCGCCATTTCTTCTCTCTCAAGCTCAGGTTCTGTTTAGGTTTTTATTTCACGATCAATTTCATGCGATTTTTCTCTCAAATTCTGCGATCATCTAGCGTTTCATTTCCATCAGATGGTTTCGCGCGCCGATCCAATGGAATCCTTCGTCCAATACGTAAGAGATGCAATCTCCCCTCTCGAGTCAGGATTCATTCGATTCTCTAAAGATCTCGAGTCCCATTGGTCGAAGGATTCGAGGTTCGAGCCGAGGGATGAGAAGAAGAAAGGTTTAGATCGTTGATCGGATCGATTTTCCCCAATTCGAGCAAGGAACGGGGAGTGAAGGAGGATGAAGAGGAACGAGACGAGTCTTGTTCAATTTGCTTGCATTTTGCCGTTTCTTGGTCGATTTTTGTGAATAATTTTGTTCAGGCATTTCCTAGTCCGTTTAAATCGAAGACAGTGCCACATCAGCAGCTTAAACACAGATTAAGCCATCGCGTGCAACGCACGTGACGAGTTCTCGCCGGAAAAGTTATCGCCGACGAGAAAAAGGACCTAATTGGTAATTTTAATCAATTAAAATGCCTTAACGCCGATTTTCCTAATTAAAATACCTTCTTGGCAAATGAGGTTGAATTAAAATACCAATATGGGTATTTAGCCCTTAAATATTCTATGGTTTTACACACTTAAAATTCTAAGTTGTAAAGTACAGCAGTTAAATACTCCCAGTTGCCAGCTGCTAAAATATTATAAGGGGCTGTTTGGTTGTTGTTGGTAAAGTTATGTATTTATGACACAACTTGGAAAGTTGTTGTCCATCTCATCAATTTTACTTTTATACTTTTCTTTGTTTGTTTTTTATTCCATTGGAATCATAAATTGTTTGTTTGGTTTGTAAATGTAACTTTAATTGTTTGTTTGGAAAGTGTAAAAAGTGTTCCCTACTCAAATGATCATATTGGTTGGAATTATTTTTTATTATTTTTTCCTGACTTCAATGTCAGCTTTCTCCTAAAATCATGTCTTTTTTTTATAAAATCACTTTACAAGCCACATCAGCATATGAAATCACTTTACACTACCCCCCCCCCCCCCCCCTCCCCCACCCAAAAAAAAGTAAGAAAGAAAATAAGCTATGGTTTTAATGAGGTTTTCTGATAAAACTTTATATTAGTTAAAGGGGGATTTTCTAAGGATCCCTATACTTTAAGGGTTTTTTCTTGATAATTTGAAAGTTATGTAAGGTTATCTTATAGTTCTCGACAGCTGAAGGGTCTTTTATGTGATTTAACTAAGCCGTTAAATAAATTCCCCTCACCATTTTCATCCCCCCCCCCCCCCCCTCTTAAATAATGTAAAGAGCTTTCATGGCCTATGCCAACAAAAAAAAGGAGGGGGGGGGGGGGATCTTTTAATAAGAAAATGAGGATAGATTAAAGCAGTAATTATAACAAAAAATTGGGTCAAAACAGTCCTAACTATGGCATGTGATGATCACATGAGAAAATTTCCTAGAATATTCTCACTTCAAACTAACAGAAGGTAGTAACATATCAGATTTGGACAACTAAAGTACTTTAAGCGTTACGTTTTATAACTTAGGGTATTAAAGTATAAAGGTGATGAAACAATAAGGTATTTAAGTGTCATTTAGCCTTCTCCTCTTTAGTGACTTGCGGGCGTTTGACTATTATATTCATTTGAATATAAAACTTATTTAGCCTTTATGTATGGGTGGTTGTTGTAACCTTACTATAAGTTTTAAGGTTATAACCAAATTTAAAGGCTCACCATTTGTGTCTAGAAGCATATTCTCAAGCAAAAATTAAATTTTCTAAACATAGTGACTATTGAGCCAACACATCATGCTTGGTTTTTTTTCAGTGTTCTGTAGCAGATGATTTACATCTGAGTGCAACCTTGGTTTTGTTTTCTGGGACTCTAATTTTGCCATAAAATAAGACATTATTGATGATAATTTCTTAAGGAGTTGGACAAGCATCCAGGACTCTTCAACTCCTTGTACCCCAATTCCAAAGGCATATTGTTCACATGCAACTCGCTCAGCCTAGAAAGGGTAATATAGCTCACATGCTTCTTTGAAATAATGCAAGGGCAACCTTTGACATTCTAACTAAAATATACGGTAAACTTTACAAAATCCCCCAACATTTTGGGCCATTTACCATGATATCAAACTTTTTCAAATGAAACCTCCTAACTTAATTTATTTCTTTCCTCACGCCTGGGTAAAGGTTGAAGCTCCAAATCATCGTATTTTGCTCTTATTTAGAAATTTCAAATCTTAATCCTTGCATTTTGCTCTTATTAAAATTTCAAATCTTATGTATTCTCTGTTGGATTTTTGCTTCTAATATTAGGAAGTTTTGGAATCTCTAGGTCAATTTCCAAGATGGTTTTCTCATTCAAACGGAAGAGATATTTTTTGGTTCAAGAGCCATGACACATATCTCTAGAACTGCAACCAAGTATGAACGAATATTATGATTCAAGACTGACAATTTTAAAGTTGGAGGGTTTTGTGGGAGAAGTTAGGGAAAAGGGTGCGTGCGTGCGTGTTGCGGGTTGGTGCAAAGTTTTGGGCGGTTTTGTGAAATTTACCCAAAAATACCCGCAACAATATCGCTAGTAGTTTTATGTCGGTTCATGAATGAGAATATCCTTCCTATATTCGTGCATTTGTTTATTTATTTATAGATGGGCAACTTAATTTGAAAGTTTTGCAGAGTAACGAGCCTTCTTTGTTGACTGCAAAGATGTTCTTATTTAGAATCAAGTGCACGTGCTTATTGTCTCATTTTATTTTCTTCTACTCAGAGCTAGAAAAGCCCGATGTCAGCTTAAGAGTTTTGAGGATTTTGGCGATACGCAGGGTTAGGTGACAAGTATTTCTCTGAAGACAAGTGTGACTTTTCTCGGAAATAGAGGAAGTTTCGATGCTTCTGCTGTTTGGTATGGATCATCATGGAATCTCTCTTATCGAAATACACCAAGAATTTGTCTCATACTGAACATTCAAATTCTCCTTTCCTTTTTTGATGTTTGATGACGAAAGTGCGGGCTTTTGAGAGGGGGAAGTTGGAGGGCTGACATCTCAAGAATAGACCCATGGAGAATTATGCACTCGAGAAGAAGATTCACCCTCTGGTTTAAAGAAACAGGTGCTTTTCTATTTTCACTTGATTTTTCGACGCGTGCAACTGCAACGTGCCTGCTATCCAAGGACTTTTGCAAAAAGAAGAAAAATATTTGAAAATAACTAATTATACAATATATTATGTTATTTGACAAATTTCAAGAAAAACTAAAATCCATGTAGAATATCATATCATATCATATTTCCTTTTAAAAACACGAGTTCTGAAAAAATTTTCGGTAGACAAAAATACCCTTGAAATTCAAATACTAATCCATTAAGTAAGAGTGAGCTGATAAATTGATGAATTATTATTAGATATATATGGTATGAAGATAAGGATGTAGTTTAAATTGAAATGTAAACCTGAATAAAATTATTAAATACCAAATTTATAAATGTATACAAGATGAGGCGTATATACAAAAACTAAATAAATTAGTGAGACAAATAATATCCGCCCCAGAGGTCGAACCCAGGAACAACACAGACCTACAGATGTACAAAATATGGATGGGGTATTTGCAAAATCCACCAAACAAATTAATGAGACAAAATCGTTCTTAAAATTATAAAAAAGGAAAATTAAAACAAACGCTACGATGTGAGGACACAACGTGATGATCTCTCACCAACTAAATTTCAAATAGTTTACGGTACTGCATAATCATTTTTAAAGTTTATTTATACTCTTATTATTTAAATAGAACTCTATTTGCAATTGTTATCCCCTCAAATACAACATCATATACCAATGTATATAAGCCAAGAAATTACAATAATTTCCATAACACTTTCATCTCCTTCTACGGATATATGCCTTTGTTATTTTCTTCTTATTAGACTAGATTAG